GCCGCCTGGAGGCTCCGCGTCAGCACCCGGGCCTTTGGGTTGTTTGTTGAGCAGCTGGTTCCGAGCCCGTGAGTCTCCCTGCCCACAAGGCAACGGCGCCTTCTGTATTTGTAGGGCGCGAGGCGCCAGCAAGTGCCCCAGCCGCCGGCCACCGCCGCGCGCCTGTTTCCTTTCTCCCAGCTTCAAGCTGCCTCAGCCGGCGACTGGAGACGCATTTGAATGGAGGACTCTGGAAAGGCTTCTAAAGGCGGAACCCTAAGCCTGTCTTTCCTTTAGTCTGCGGGGCTCACTACCCGGAAAGCTCGCCTGACCTTGAACTTAAATTGGGTGAGGTGGTTTGCGTGGGCAACTAGCCCAGATTTACCCCCGTTGCTCGCTCCTTAAACTCCCTTAGATCCAGCTTGCCGGCTGCCCCAGCCCTGGCTCCTCGCACCTGCTGGGCCTGCACTGGTCGTGGTCCTAGGGGAGGAGAGGACACGCTTTTGTATTTGAGCCTCAGGGAAGCGCTAGGGCCATTGTCATTCATAGTTCACATGGAGCAGAGCCTTTAAAGCACAAACCACAGAAAGTGTTTTCTGGAAAGGAAGTTCCTCTCTCTCAGAACACGTTTTGGGGGGACATGCAATTCTCACCCACCTTTGCCTTAAAAGAAGATCCACTGGAGAAACTGTGTCTTTAATGGGCCCTTTAAAACACGCGTGGGCTGGTTTGAGTACCCACAGCCGCGCTGCAGCTCTGGGAAGACCTTCCACCTTACTCTGGCCTTTACTTTGGAGTCTCACTGTTTTCTTCTCTGGAGAGCACAGGGCTCTGCTCTGGCTGCACCGATCACCAAGGGGGAGTCTGCGGGTGCCCCCCCCCCCATGCTAACTTCCCTCGGGCCGTTCCTAACGGTTGACTAGTTGGGCTGTTGGGAAGATAAGTAGAAAAACGTGTGTTTTGCACATTTTCATAAAGATGCTCTAATGGGTGTTTCCCAAGCTGCTCTCTGACAACAGAATGAAACCGATATTCTGACACTTTTCCCTGTTGTGGTGGTGAGGTCCAGGGGGGGCAGTGAGAGCCATTTTTCAAAAAGCCCTCTGATGTGCTTGGGCTGTGTGCCCACAACAGGTCAAGTCAAATGATTCCCAGTTCTGCTGCCCTCTCCTTGAAGGGGCTGGGCCGCAGGAAGTGAGGTGGAGGGGGAGGGGACTGAGGGAAACTGGACCGACCAGATTTGGCCCCACTTAGTCCAGCAGCTGGCCTCATTGTTCCTCTGGAGTGAGCACAGGCTGCCTCTTCCTCGGAATGGCCGGAATGGCCGTGGGCTCACCTACGGAGGCCTCGAGGTCCCGCCAGCGCTCAGTGGAATGATTTTCTGAGGGCACTGCTCGCGCTTTGGAGGAAGAGGACTCATGACACGGAGCTCTTTTTCTTTAATTGTTTAAAGAATTACATAGGTCTCCTTTCCCCCCATCGACCCCTCCCTGGGATGACACTGAGCTCTTAACACCCCACATGTAAACTCACCGTCTTCACGTGCCCTAATTGCACTTACTATGAGGCTGTAGCACTTGCTCTCACCTGGTTTACAGGAGGAAGAGCCCCACAATTTTAAAAGGAAGCTTTTCTTCCCATTGCTTTTCCAGCGCCTTCTGGATTGTTGCCGCTGTTACAGGTTTGACCAGAGTTGAGTTGAGGTTGGTTGATTGATTTAGTGATGGCAGGAATGAACGCGGGGAACAGGTCTAACTGAAAAGACAGGCACTACGAATCTAAGTGTAAGTCCTCCAAATCTGAACTGTTTGCTGTTATGTGTCTGTTATCCCAAGGAAATGTTTTGAAGACATTAAATAAATATCAGCTTCTTTAAATCAAGATTAGTGTTTACTCAAAAGTAGCTTTCTTTTTAAAAATTATATAACCTGTGATTTTTCAGTGAGTGTAAGACAGAACGGCCCATGCTCTGTGTACAGTGGGAATTGTGTTATTTAACACATTGGTCCAAAGGCTCCTTGTTGCCAAGTGTAGAAGAATGAAAACTACAAGTCATGGCTTTGGGACAGGAGACCTGCCTGGTGTGCTGGGGCCCCTTTTCTGTTTGGGGGCACCCCTATGCATTCCTTTCTGCCTTCAGAATGGGGTCATTTCCCATGGCCTCTGAGGTGGCCTCAGGAGAAATGGAGAAGCAGCTAAGAGGTGAAGTTCATTCCCTCAGCTTTAGATGCATTTTGATTCAGTTGCAAAGCCACAATTAAATGATTGGTTTGATGGCCTGCCATCTGGTCCAGGCCCACATTCCCCTCTGTTATTGTGGCTCAGCTGTGGCCTGGTCCAGCGTGGGTGGAATGGAACACGTCCGGTTCCCTGGCCTGCTCTGTAACCACTGGGCACATACTGGGTTCACGTGAATGTCTATATTCTGTAGAGTATTGTGATTAAGGTTGAATGGGTTGATCTCTAGATGCCTTCCAGATAGAGATGAACTCAGTGGTTCTTTTTATATCATCAGAACATCATGTGAAATTCAGTTCAGCGATCTCTGACCAAGCCCCGCCCCCTCCCCAGGCAGACGCTGTGCTGCCACCTAGTGGCCCTGGCGGTGGGCATTCCCATCACCCAGGAAGGCCAGCTTTGATCTGGGCTGGCTAACAACTGTATAGGGAGTTTCTCCTCCCCTGGACTCCAGGGTGCCATTGTCAGCACCCCTGACTTTTCAACTCCTCTTTCTCATTGTAGAGACCTAAGCCTCTGCAGAAAGGAGGAGGGGGCACGAGCCGAACAGGACATCTCCGCTTCGTTTCCAGCCTGTGCGAGTGCAGGGACAAGAGGGACTGGGAGCCAGGATTACTAACCTCTTTATGAAGCGTCTGATTTCGTGGCCAAAGCTCTGAGGTCCACGTGTAAATGGCTCGACTCCCTGCCGGCATTCGCTTCATCATCTCATTCTCCCGGGACCAGTGGTAAGTCCTGGCGGCTCTGGCCTCAGCATGGCCCTGAGTGTGGGCGAGGGCCACTGTGCAGCCGGCTCTCCCCGGTTTCATGATCAAATGCACACGGATGCTGTCCTCCCTGTAACCATGGAGTCACTTAGCGGTGGTGGAAGCTGTGAGGAACGTTGCCATTGTCCTCCGTCTTTGGCTCTGGCGCTGACAGGTAGCATGTGGACTCCTTCCTGGTCTTCAGTGGTTTCTGTAATAATCACAGCTCCCACAGAAAAATGACCGCCGACCACTGACAGGGTTATAACATGCCTGTGAGTGAAAAGTATATGAACTCTGAGCTCAATGAGTGGCCTAACTGGGGCAGAGCTCCCAGAGAGAAAGTGAAATCTTAACAAGTTAGATGCTGACCAGAACGCAACTCTCTCTTCTGAGACACCCTGCTTGTGTGCTCTGAGAATCCTTTTCCGGGAAGGGCGGGAGTGGTCATGAGTTCCGTGCCCCTTGGAGGAAGCCGATGGTGAGGGCAGAGTCTAGAGCTGGGCTCTCTGGCCTCTAACCCACCGTCTCAGTGGTGTCTCCCCTCCTGATCTTATTTGGGGAGGAAAAGTTTTCCTCTACCCTCTTTGGTTCAGTAATTGGGAGCATGCAAATAAAACTGACAAAAAGATTCACAAGAGAAAAGAAACTTAATCACATATATATAGGAGTTTACAGAAAAATGTGACTCCAAGAGGTATTAGAATTTGGGGCTAATATGCCACCTTAATAGGGGAAGAGGAGGAGGACAGGGGCACTGATGGGAAAACAGATGCCCTTTTGGAAATGTAAGTGGGCCTTAGGAGAATGGACGGGAGATATGATAATGTTGGTAGTGTCTGTGGGTGTGATGTGGACACTTCTCACCTTCAGTAATGAGTCGGTCTCCCCTGTGTCCTCCCAGGGAGGGACTTAGGACAGTTGAGTTCTTTCGGGGGCTCTGCTTTTAGACAAAAGAGATTTCAGGAACTCAAATGCTTTCCCCTCAAAATACTTTTATGCCTTAGTGGCGTATTCTGGACCCCTTCATCTCATCACGACAACCCACCTGTGGCCTCCACACCCTTTGCATCTTCTCAGGCCTCTGCTGGGTGTCAGGTGGGACTTCAGACATGCCATTCTTTCCAGAGCAGTCCCCTCATTGACTCATTTCATGCCTACTGCAAATCTAGCCACGAGTGTTCCAACACTGACCTTTTATTTGGGGGGAGTTTAGCTTCTTGGTTTTATAACTTTATTTTGATATAATTTTCAAACTCACAGAAGAAAATTAAAAGAATGTTACAAAGAACTCCTGTGTATCGCAGATTCTTATTTTTTTATGGGTGATCCCTACAAAGATAGAGCAGGGCTTCTCTAACTTTAGTGAGCATGTGAATCACCCCGAGAACTTGTTAAAATGCAGATTCTGACTCATAGGTCCGGGGTGGGCCTGAGAGTCTGCATCTCCCAGGCGATGTGCCATCAGCCCATTGGCCACACTTTGGGTAGCAAGGGTACAGAGTATTTGTCTCAGTTCTCCTCCATCTCTACTTCCAACTTGTTCTTTGACCTTTAAAAGTTATTTTTAGCTGAGATTTAGCAATCCTAAAGAGACTGGCTTTAACATTCCTACGAAGGACATTTTCTATGTGTTTCTACCCAGCACACCCGCCCCTTTCTAGCATCACTTTGACTTCCGTTGGGGAACTGACATCCCTCCTTTGTGTGCAGTTGGGATAGGCAGGTGAGTCTCAGGACTTTCCGTCTCACGGCAACCAGTGGAGGCCCTCAGGGCCGAGGCCTTGTTCCCAGGACCTTCCTCGAACAGCGAACAGCGCAGGTGCAGCAGGAGGCAGGGCGGAATCAGGGGCAGGCAGGGTAGGAGTAGGGACTACAGGTCTCTCTCCTGGGCTTTGAATCTCAAGTACAGTGACCTAGGGCAGCTTTGAGGCCTGGGCTCCACCTGCAAACAAATCCAAAGCACTGGTGTTTTTTGCTTCTGCGTGCGTGTGCGTGCGTGTGTGTGTGTGTGTGTGTAAAATGCCTTATGAACATTTGAGAGTAAGTTACAGACATTATGTTGTTTTATTTCTAAATACATCAGCAAGTATTTCCTATAAACAAGATATTCTCATATAGCTACACACACAGATCAAAATCAGGAAATTTAACACTGATTAGGTTCTATCATCTAATCCATAGTCCATATTCAAAATCCTACCAGATGTCCAATAATGTCTTTATAGCTTTCTTCCTGGCCCAGGATGCAGTCCAGAGCTACACACTGCATTTAGCTGTCCTGTAAGTTTAATCTCCTTTCATCTGAACTGTTTCTTGGCCTTTCTTTGTCTTTTATGACCTTGACATTTCTGAAAGGTACAAGCCTTTTTTTTAATAGACTGTCTTTTGTTTGGGATGTATCTAGTATTTCCTCCTAATTAGATTCAGATTTTGTCAAGAATACCACAGAAGGGAAACAGCTGCTCACTGATGGTGAAGAAGTTAAAAATATGGGCAGGGAGGGACTGAATGAATTGTGTGGTATTGGATAGGAATTAAGAGGAACTGGTGAGAAAGCAGGGGAGAACTAGATATATATGCCTCTGTGTGTGTACGTGGTGTGTGTGTATGTATTGTGTATGTATTTGTGTGTGTGTGTGTGTGTGTGTGTGTAAAATGTCCTATCCCTGCCCACCAAGAGGCCCTGGGAACAGCAACACACCACAGCACTGAGCACACCTGGTGCCAGATCTTGGTGTCTATGTGCCGTTTCCCATGGAGGGAGCTGGGCATCTTTGGAAACTGGGCTATGTCAGCGCTGGGGCAGGGGAAGTAAGAGGAGCCAGGAATATCTCGTGCCAGAAAATAAGGGTGTGCTTAAGAACGAAAGGGCTCTCACTGCTAAGTTTGAGATGATTTGATATTTAAAATAAATGATACTAGTAATGGATTATAGCCTTTGAATATAATTGGAATCCAGTGAGTCCACGCGGCTGTAATTCAGTAAGTGGGTAAGCGGGAGAAAGGAAAGCCCTTCCCCACAGCAGAAGGGCAGCTCCTAAAGACGTGGGAGTGTCCATAACCTGGACAGCCAATCTGTCACCATTGGCGATGCTTAGTTTAGGTGAGGATCACCAAGGGACGCACAGTCTTGGGGGAAAGTTGGAGGAAGAGCTTATTTACTTAATCTCAACGTGTGTTCCCACAAGTTCCTTACTAGTTACTTAGAGAGAAAGGTTATAGCTTCCCTAAGGGGGTTGGGGGGGGTGTCTGGCAGGCAGCCCCTTAACCAAGTGATCAGGGCTGACGTCACCGAAGTCATGTGCCTCCCTAGGATGCTGTGAAAAGGACTCTCATCACAGCTGTGTGGTTTCATTGTTTCTAAATTAAGGGTGTCTTTGGGCTAATTTTGGTGCCAAGTCAGACTGCTCAGTGACTCTCATCTAAAGCATTTGTGTATTCCTTATTTGCATATGACTGAGATAAATAACACTCAAAGGAGGAAGCACATTCTGCATTGAGTCTTACCGCGGAGCAGGCTGCTCTTCAGCTGGGAGCATTTCTAAGGAAGCTTAGAAGGTGCACCTGTCCTGGGCCATCATTGTCAAGATGGGCTTTTTTTGCTAGAAACTTGGGATTAACCCAAACACTCTTCCTGCAGTATTGATAGATGCAGAGAATGCTGGAGTCAGGCATAACTGCACAAAGTAAGTGGGACACTGATGGATGAAAGGATCCGATCATTCATTTTTAATTGTGTTTTCTTAATATTCACAAGCCTAAATGTAACACAAAACACAAAAGTAGAGGACTGTATTTGTGTCCTAGGGCTGCTGTAACAAAGTACCATACACTGGGTGGCTTAAAACAACAGACATGTATTCTCACCGTTCCGGAGGCCAGAAGTGTGAGATCGAGGTGTCAGTAGGGCTGCTCCACTGCAGGCTCTGGGAAGAGTCCTTCCTGCCTCTTCCAGCCTCTGGCGGTGGCTGGCAGCCCTCTGCCCTCCTGTGCCTATTGTCACAGGGTCTTCCTGTCTGTCTGTCTGTCTCTGTGTCTTCACTTGGCTTTTATAAGGATGTCAGTCACTGGACTTAGGATCTCATTGGATTTGATGTCATACATGAGTTAAGTATGACCTCAGCCTAACTAATTACATCCGCAAGACTATGTGCAAATAAAGTCACATTCTGAGACTTTCAGGTGGACATGAATTTAGGGGGGCAGTGTGCAACTCAGTACGAGATGGATAAAGAGAAACAAACATCACCCAGAATCCTTGACTGGTAAATGATAAAGGAAGAAAGACAATGAAGGTAAAACTACAAAGTGACAAAGGACTGAGGAGGGTTAGGACTTTAGCCCGTAACCCAAGATGATCCCGCAGAAATAAAAAGGGTCTCGGAGGGAACCTGGCAACCTGCTGGCTGAGTCATCAAGCTATTTCACTTCCACCCAAAACCGAGCTGAGCATTCAGTTCAGCTGGAAACGGATGCTGCTCTCCTCTGTGGTCACGTGTTCATGGAGGGTCCCTGGGCATGTGCTCTGCTCGGCATGCCCCAACGAGGCCCAGTCCTGGAACCACCTTTGTGCTGCCAGGCCCATTTAGAGAAGGGGCAGGGGCCCAGGGATGGAGATGGAGGCCCAGGGAAGGGGGGCAATGGCCCAGGGATTGCCACTACATTTTGATAACCTAGACATCTTGACTACCTGAGAATGCAGGTGTATTCGGGTCCCAGGACTCTTTAGACATTGTCTGAACATATGGAGGAGCTCTTCGGTTCTGGGTTATTTGTTCTATTTTATAAATATGTGAATATGTTTAATAAAAATAGAATATTTATAAATAGAATACTCTGTGGGTAGAGAGCATGAACCCACAGCCCATTTAAGTAGAGCTACTTTCTCAAAGTTCTTCCTAGCTGGGTGGTGATGAACTTTAGATTCTCCTGGTAGGTCCCATACCTGTCACCAGATTCTTCCTTCATACTCGGATTTGGGAGCTGTGAAGGTAACCCAGTCTGAGGACTTTTCAAAATACTCCTTGTGGAGATTGGAAAAGGGATCCCTGTACCCAAATGGGGGCAGGTCAGGGTCCCCATAGGCTGCACACACCCTTGTAATTTACATCTAGTGTGGACAGAAGTAGCCAGCGAATCTGCCTGTGGGCTGGAAATTTGGGTATTGAGGGCTTACAGAGTTCCGATGGCCTAGAATCTTCCTTTGCTGGCAACTTCAGGCACATAGGAGCCTAGAGTTAGGTGGGATAACAGAGCTTCAGGCAAAGAACTGAGAGAATGTCATTCCTGACTCAAACAGATGGTTTACAGAAACATAAGGACAAAGGCCTGGTCTTTGGGACAAACCCACTGTACCGGCGTAGTCTTTGTCCGTTGGGATAAAATATACATTCATTTCTGATTATTTACTTTTTTCCTATCTGGTCCTTGGCCTGGGCTTGGAGAGTGAAGAATCCTAGGAAAACCCTCGGTGTGTGTTTCCTTGATGAAGAGGGGCACGTGGGCGCATGTCGTTACTCATTCCTGGAGTAGCTGCTGAGTGTTTCCCTCTCCCTAAGGCACAGGTACCTGGCAGTTAAAGGTTCTGGTCCCATGGTTCCGCCAACCTTTTTCCCCACCTGAAATATGACCTTTTTTTAAAAATCCAGAAATATTTATGTGTCCCCTTCTGGCCAGAGAGGCAGGCATCCCTAGGATTCTTTGTGTTATTGGAGGAAAGCTGCCCTTGAGGTGTCAATCACAGCTGTAGGACGGAGCCTGGAGGAGGGTCCCAGCACCACCAAGGCCAGTGGCCATGGCTCCTCTGTGGGCTGGGGCCCCTCCTGCCTCTTTCCTATCTCCGCCGCCTCTGTCCTGGGTAATTATCACTCCGAGCCATCACTCCACTTGAAAGTCACCAGCCTTTCCAGGCCAGAAAGAGGATGAGTTCTTCAGGGTGAGGGGCTGGGTCTCAAGGCACAGAAGGACCTGCCCTCCTGGGGGGAGCCCCTCTCACTATCTCTTGCTAAATACTTTTTCCTCCTGATGTATTTTTTCCCCTTAAGAAATGTTTTTCCATAATAGCATGGTTCAAATTTTTAGACTGGAATGAACTTTTATCTTCTTACTAAAGTATCTTTTTTTTTTTAGATGCCCATATATTTCAGCACTCCCCCTCCCCCTCAACCCCTACCCCACGACTGCTTTTCTCATAAACCAGAAAGAGCAGCAGGGCTTTGGCCAGTATTTTTATGCATTGGCCTTATTCATAGCTTGTCAGCATCACTCGGTTTTTCTCATTGAGGTCAGTGAGATATTTGTGTCACTGCCTTGCTTGTGTCCTTCGGAAAAGTTGCATAGAAGCTAAAAAGTAAAAAATATGATCGTCAGTGCCCAGGATAGCCGCTTACAAGAAGTTTGCAGTTAATTTTGTTTCAGACTACGGAATCATTCCTTTCTGTCTGCTTTGTAAACGTGTGTTCATCTACTGAGTCCCAGATTTCTCTTTGATTATGGTGTTGTTTTTGTTGTTGTTATTAATCCTCACCCAAGGATATTTTTCCATTGACCTTTTAGAGAGAGTGGAAGAGAGAGGGAAAGACAGAGAAACATCGATGTGAGAAAAACACATTGCCTCCTTCACATGCCCCAACCAGGGCCCGGGCCAGGGAGAAGCCTGCAACCTCCATATGTGCTCTTGACCAGAATCAAACCCAGGACTTTTTTGTCCACAGGCCGATGCTCTATCCACTGAGCCAAACCAGCTAGGGCATTTATAGTGGTTTTTAAAAAATGAATGTTTAAATAGTTTCAATTTGGACCGAACAGAAGTCTCACTTTTAAAATATAATATTATAGTGATACTAAAGGCCCGGTGCATGAAATTCATGCACTCAGGAGGGTCCCTCAGCCCGGCCTGCATCCTCTCACAGTTTGGGGGCCCTCAGGGGATTTCTGACTGCTGGCTTAGGCCCACTCCCTGTGGGGAGGAGGCCTAAGCCAGCAGTCGGACATCCTTAGCGCTGCCCCAGAGGTAGAAGAGGTTCCAACCACTGCTGCTGCACTCGCCAGCCGTGAGCCCAGCTTCTGGCTGAGCAGCACGCCCCCTGTGGGAGCACACTGACCACCAGGGGGCAGCTCCTGCATTGAGTGTCTGCCCCTGGTGGGCAGTGCACATCATAGCAACCAGTCGTTCCGCCATTAGGGTCAATTTGCATATTAGCCTTTTATTATATAGGACTAGAGGCCCGGTGCACAAAAATTTGTGCACTCAGGGGGCGGGGGGAGGGGGGTCCCCCAGCCCGGCCTGTGCCCTCTCGCAGTCTGGGACCCCTC